TTTGAAAACGGTATAGGTGCTATATATTCTAAGCAAAAAGCAAAGTTGATTGTGAACAATGTGGTTACGGAAGAAATACCTATAGAAAAAGGTACACGACAGGGATGCCCAATATCCCCTTTACTTTTTATAACAGTCCTGGAGGTTTTGTTAAACATGATTAGAGGGGACCAATTGGTCAAAGGAGTTCAGGTCGGAGCCAGAAATTACAAACTAAGGGCATTTGCAGATGACCTAGTATTGACTTTGCAACAGCCAGATACTAGTACCAAAAGAGTATTAGAACTAATTGAGATATTTGGTCAAGTAGCAGGATTTAAACTGAACAAGCAAAAAACTAAAGTGTTGGAGAAAAATCTAACAATGGCAGAAAAAGAGAAGTTTCAGAGTGAAACAGGTTTAGTAATAACAAAAAAGGTGAAGTACCTGGGTTCGAACTTGACTTCTAAAAATGTGAATTTATTTAAAGACAATTATGACAAATGTTGGACAGAGGTGAAGAAAGATCTAGAAATATGGTCAAGGTTGAGACTTTCCTTGTTAGGCTGAATTGCTGTCATCAAGATGAATGTATTGCCTAGAATGTTGTTTTTATTCCAGACACTCCAGATCTTGGACAAGATGGACTGTTTCAAGAGGTGGCAAAAAGACATATCAAAATTTGTCTGGCAGGGCAAAAAGCCCAGAATAAACTTTAAGATCTTAACTGATGCAAAAGACAGAGGGGGGTTTGCCCTGCCGGACCTGAGACTTTACTATGAATCGGCAGCGTTCTGCTGGTTGAAACAATGGCTGCTTCTTGAGAATACAGACATTTTGGATCTGGAAGGGTACGACAATAGATTTGGTTGGCATGCATATATATGGTATGACAAGGTAAAAATGCATAAAGGTTTTAAAAACCATATTGTTAGGAAAGCATTGTACAATGTCTGGATAAGATATAAGGATCTATTGGAAAGTAAAACTCCCAGGTGGTTATCACCAATGGAGGCTAAAGAGACTAAAAAACTTAATATGGAGTCCAAATGGCCAAAATATTGTGAAATCTTAGAACAAGATGGTGAAAGAGTTAAATTACAAAGTTATGACAAATTAAAGTCTAAAGTACGAGATTGGTTGCATTACCTTCAGATAAACGAGGTATTTAAACAGGACAGGAAAATAGGTTTTCAGATGGAGAGGTCGAAATTAGAAACAGAATTGTTAGAACCCAATACTAAGAACTTGTCAAGAATGTATAATTTGCTGCTGAAATGGAATACACAAGATGAAACAGTAAAATCAGCTATGATTAAATGGGCACAAGACATAGGTCATGACATTATGTTTGATGATTGGGAACAGTTATGGAACACAGGTGTTAAGTTTACGGCTTGTAATGCTTTGAGAGAAAACATAATGAAAATGATCTACAGATGGTACATGACCCCAGTCAAACTTGCAAAAATTTATCATTTGCCCAATAAATGTTGGAAATGTAATGAGACTGAAGGTACTTTCTACCACCTTTGGTGGACCTGCCCGAGGGTTAAGGCCTACTGGGAAATGATCTATAATGAAATTAAAAAGGTCCTTAAATGGACATTTCTTAAAAAACCAGAGGCTTTTCTCCTGGGCATGGTGGGCCAATTGGTGCCAAGGAAGGACAGAACTTTTTTTATGTATGCTACTACAGCGGCAAGAATTCTTCTGGCAAAGTATTGGAAGACGCAGGAGTTACCCACTCTGGAAGAATGGCAAGCGAAGGTGACTGACTACATGGGAATGGCGGAGATGACCGGCAGAATCCGTGACCAGGGGAGTGAGACAGTGGAAGAAGATTGGAAGAAATTTAAAATATACCTTAAAAACTGTTGTAACATTGAGGAGTGCTGAGATGCCATGGTGTTAAGAACAGAGAATTGCAGCTGTATATCATAAATTTAAGGGAATTATAATGAAGATGAGTTAATTAATTAAATGGAGGGTTGCTGTCAAAAGGGAAAAATAAGGATGCAGAAAAAGGGAGGTATGGGGAAGTCCAAGAAGTAAGGTGAAGGAAAATAAGTTTATGAAATTATACATGTTTGTTTGTTGTTTGTTTGTATGTTTTGTTCTGTTTTATTGTTTGTTTTTATTACATGTTTGGAAAATTAATAAAAATTATTTTAAAAAAAAGAAAAAGAAAACAAAAACGAAACCTAGAGTCCCAGCGGGTGAAGTTCTGCCTAGCCCAGGGGTCTGCAACCTTTAAGACAAAAAGAGCCACTTGGACCCGTTTCCGAAGAAAAAACAACAACTGGGAGCCGCAAAACCATTGCGACATTTAAAACAAATATATCTCCGGAGCTGCGATCTGACAGCGGGCGGGGAGGTGACGTCGGGATGGTGCGTGACTAATGCGACGTCACAGCCAGTACAGCGCCCGCCACAGCCAGTACAGCGCCCGCCACAGTGAGGAGTGTCGGGGCGCACAATGCGCCTCCTCCCCTCGCTAGTATCCGCCCCGGAGCTGCGGCAAAGATGTAAAAGAGCCACATGCGGCTCCGGAGCCGCGGGTTGCAGACCCCTGGCCTAGCCCATGGGTAGGCAACCTTAGGCCTGGGGGCTGGATCTGGCCCAATCACCTTCTAAATCCGGCCCACAGCGTGTTTTTACATGAGTAGAATGTGTCCTTTTACAGTGGTACCTCGGGTTACAGACACTTCAGGTTACAGACGCTTCAGGTTGCAGACTCCGCTAACCCAGAAATAGTACCTCAGGTTAAGAACTTTGCTTCAGGATGAGAACAGAAATCTCACAGCGGCAGCGGGAGGCCCCAATAGCTAAAGTGGTACCTCTGGTTAAGAACAGTTTCAGGTTAAGATCGGACCTCTGGAATGAATTAAGTTCTTAACCCGAGGTACCACTGTATTTAAAATGCATCACTGGGTTATTTGTGGGGCAAAGGAATTCGTTCATCCCCCCCCCCAAAAAAATATAGTCCGGCCCCCCACAAGGTCTGAGGGACAGTGGACCGGCCCCCTGCTGGAAAAGTTTGCTGACCCCTGGCTAGCCTTTCTCCCTAGCACGTTATTTTTCGATGAGCAGGGAGGGGATTTTGGGGCGGTGATAAGGAATATGGAACCCCCACCGCCCACCTCAAGAAGTGTTACTGTCCTGGGGAGGCACCCAGGGAGGCCTGATCCAGAGGGTGGCACGGCCTGCCAGCCGCCTACTCCCTAGAGTTGTGGGGCAGGCATTACAACCACTGCAGAGGTCCCAGGCCCTAAGGAAGTCAGATTAGCCTCAACCAGAGCCAGGGTCTTCTCAACACTGGCTCCAGCCTGGTGGAATGCTCTGCCTCATGAGACCAGGGCCCTGCAGGATCTGATCTCTTTCCGCAGGACCTGTAAGACAGAGTTGTTCCGCCTGGCCTTTGACTTGGAATCAACTTGATCCCCTTCCCCTCTTTCCTTTTTCCTTTCTCCTTCTGTGATGGAACTCCTATTTGGGGACTTCCCTGGCTTTTTTCTGGCCCACGTAGGACCAGCCTTGGTGAAGACTTGACGTTTTTATCCCCAAAAAGTTTTTGATTTGAGTTTCCACTGAAAGGAGGCTGCATTTTAAATGTTTTAATGTTGCATTTTAATCTTGTTTTTTAAGTTGCATTTCCATCAATTGTTTTATATCGGGTGTTAGCCGCCCTGAGCCCGGTCTTGGCTGGGGAGGGCGGGGTACAAATAATAATAATAATAATAATAATAATAATAATAATAATAATAATAATAATAATAATAGATCCGTTCCACGGGCGGCCTTTCTATTAGGATGGGACGCCGCCGCTCTGCAGGAGAAGGGAGCTGGGCTCTGTACCGCAGGGCAGCGGTACCCACGGCTTCCACAGGAGGCGCTCTCGGGACGATCCCGGGAGGCTGCTCCTAAAGCGAGAATCCGTGCAGAAAAGGACGCAGGAGGGGCCGGCAGGTGGGGCTGGGTGGGGGGTGGCCCAAGGGGCGGCTTGGCGCTGCTCCTTACGAGGAGCTGACCCCCCTCCCCATGGCGTGCGGATGACACCCCCCTCCCTCCTCCTCCCCCCCCCGCCCCAATCCTGAGTGGCACCAAATTTGAAATTCCTGCCGAGGCTCCTAAAGGCGACGCGCGGCGGGAGCGCGATCAAAAGTCGTCTCGGCTGCGCACGGGGAAATCCCGGCTGCCCGGGCGCGCCGAGGGGAGAGCTGGACGTTGCCTGGCGAGGCGAGGGGCGCAGAGGCAGCCAGGGCTGGAGGAGGAAGAGGAGGGCGCCGCCTGGGTCCCTCCGTCGCTGCCTCGCACCTTGGAGAGGCCGTCTCCTCTCCTTCGACCCTCAAGTCTCCAAGACCCCAAGTTAGTTCTCCTGCGGTTCTTTTTTTTGCGCTCTCCTTCTTTTCCCCGCGCCCCCTTTTCTCCATTCGTCTTCCGCATCTCCATCTCCCCTTTCTGCACGTTTCCAGCTCTGGCTGTGGATGGATCTGCTTTTCCTTGATCCGATTCGCCCCCCCAAGTCTCTCTCGATCCTCCTGGCCGGGGGTTTCTCGCGTCCTCTCCGCTTCTCCGGCCATTCCGCCTCTCCGAGCTGTTCCCTGGCCCGCCCAGCGACTACCAGGCTGCAGCCTTGAATGTCTCCGCGATCCTGCTGAGATCTCTCCATCTCCATCCTTTCTGCATCCTCCTGCCCGTTGCGATTCTCTCCCGCCCACACCCCTTTTCTCACCTTCCTCTGCCTTCTCCAGTTGAACTTCTGCCTGTCTGCCTACTTCGACCTGCCTGCCCGCCGGTCCACTCATATCCTCTCCTCCTGCCCCCCCAGCCCCCTTCCCAGGCTGCGTCTCCCGTCCCCTCCTTCGCCTCCGTCTGCTGCTGGTCCCCAGTCGCTCGGTGCGCTCGCTGCCTGGGGTGCGCGCCTCCGCCGCCTGCGATGCAGCCACTCGCCGCTGCCAACCGCTCGCTCGTGCCCCCTCCCTGCCGAATGCAGCTCGCACACACACGCGCACACCCTCACTCACACGCACACACACACACGCGGCGCCGGGAGGGAGGGAGGGAGGCAGCGCGGCACAGTCAGACGGGCGAGCCAAGGGGAGCGATGAGGATCGGCGCCGTCGGGGGCAACGGGAGCCCTCTCGCCCACGCACGGGGGGCAGCCCGGCACCCCACAGCCGGACACCCCTGGCCCCGCACCGGGGTTTGCGGACGCTCCGTCGCTGCCTGCTACCGGGACAGAGCCAGCACCCAGGGGGTAAGAGGATGGAGATCAGCGACCCGCGGCACGTCGCCCCACGGATGTGCCCCTCTGCCCTCCTTGTCCCATGGGTTCGCCACCCCCTCCCCACGGGGACACCTCTTTCCCCCGAATGTGGCCCTTTCCCGCCACAGATTTGCCCTTCCCCATCCCTTGATTGCCTCCTTCTCCCCATTTCTCCCACCTCCACCTCCCTCCACGCCCTGTGCTAGAGATCTGCCTGCCCCTTTCTTAATTTCCATCCCACGCTCCCCAAATCTTGGGGAAGGGGGGGTTGTTCCTTTTTTAAAAATTTCACGTTGTTTACTCCTGTCTACAAAGCGATGTAGATTCACTACCGCCCTCGCCAAACCAAATTGAAGAGAAAAGGGTTTGAGGGTCGGAGATTTCGGGAGACAAAGGGTTAATGGGAAAGTTTGTTCGGACCCTGAACCCCTTCCTCTCCACCCTCTTTCTCTGGGGCTGCCTGCTTGCTCGCAGGGAGAGCCCCTGCTCAGGCACCCTTGCAGCTTGCTTTGCCAAACTCCTTGTTGTGTTGCCAAATTCCTGCTCTGCCAAACTCCTTCTTGACAAAACCTTTGCTCTCTTCTTTGACACAGTGTTATTAACTGCTCTCATACTCTCTTCCTTAAATGTCCCTTCAAACTCCTTTCCCAATATGAAACTAGCTCTGGCTCCTCCAGCCACCCAACCTCCAACTCAAATCAGCTTAGAACTGGAGGGAGATTACTTAGAAGTAGCTGATCTCAAATAACCACCCTGCCCTTAGATCCCATTCACAGGTATCCTGGATCCCATCATCCTGCCCAGTCTGTGGATCCCCATTTCTTGCCCCCAAACAGAGGAGGGGTTCTGGGTCTCAAGTTGCTCATCCCCTAACAGCTACTGTGATGGATATTTTACATAAAACCTTTCTTTGTTTCAGCTTTTGAAACTTGGCTAGTTTATAACTTCAGAACTGCCGCATTCAGTCCAAAAATTGCAGCCTTGCACACTATTATTTCTCTTGCATAGTTTTACTTCTCTCTCTCTTCCCTGTCTTCTTTTTTCCATTATCACAGCATTGTGTAATCTACCCCTGTGACCATATCAACTGAGACCCCTTCTCTGACTCTGCTCCCACACCAGGAATACTTTCTCTCTTCCTATACATTCTCTCTCCTGCCAGGAAGAAAGAATTAGTGGAGCAGCAGCAGCAGCAGCAGCAAAGGAATACAGCACTCGTACATTGCAGATTTTCAGAGGGGAGTTTCCGCTGTTGTTCACAATGCACAGAGCCACATGGCATGGGCTGAACATCAGAGAGACCATGGACAGCATGATCACACTTACCTGCATTGCCTTCCTTTGACCTCTGCCCACAACTCCTAAAGTTATCAGCACTTACAGTAAGGAGGCATCTTGCCTGGAAAAACCCTGGATGCTGTTTGACTGGGAGGCATCTAGGTCCATGGGGCTTGCTAACATCCATTGAAAAGACCTTGGCTGGGGAGAATAACATCCTTCGTTCTTGGGCAGACCTGGATTTTGATGTCTGAGACAAGAACTAGACTGGATGATGGGGCCCTCTGCTCCATTGATTTTTGGCGATAATTGAGCAAAGAAACGTTTTCAAGAAGGCTTTCAGAGAAAGCCGCTTTATCAAAAGCTTTCCCTGGGACAATACTTAGAGCACAGTTGAGTTTGGATGGTGAGACATTTTAGCAAAGGTTCTGTTATCTACTAACTGTGTGCAACATGGCCGCAGGGGTGGCAACATGGCTGCCCTTTGCCCGGGCAGCAGCTGTGGGCTGGCTCCCACTGGCCAAGAAGCCCATGCCCAAGCCTCCTGCTGACAAGAAACGCCGCAGCGATGAGATCTTGGTAGTCAACGTCAGCGGGAAACGCTTCCAGACTTGGAAGAACACCTTGGACCGTTATCCGGATACCCTGCTGGGCAGCTCAGAGAAGGAATTCTTCTTTGATGAAGACAGCAAGGAGTACTTCTTTGACCGCGACCCAGAGATGTTCCGCCATATCCTCAACTTCTACCGCACTGGCAGACTCCATTACCCCCGCCAGGAGTGCATACAGGCCTTCGATGAAGAGCTGTCATTCTACGGCATCATCCCAGAGCTCATCGGCGACTGCTGCCTGGAGGAATATCGTGACCGCAAGAAGGAGAATGCCGAGCGCCTCGCTGAGGATGAAGAAGCAGAGATGACCAATGACACTGGCCTGCCTCCGGACAGCACCTTCCGCCAGCGGCTCTGGAGAGCCTTTGAGAACCCCCACACCAGCACCATGGCTTTGGTCTTCTATTATGTGACTGGGTTCTTCATTGCCGTGTCAGTCATTGCCAATGTGGTGGAGACCATCCCATGCCGGCCTTCTCCTGGGAGGAAGAAGAACTTGCCCTGTGGAGATCGGTTCCCCAAGGCTTTCTTCTGCATGGACACAGCTTGCGTCCTCATCTTCACCTTTGAGTATCTCATGCGCCTCTTTGCCGCCCCAAGCCGATTCAAGTTCATGAAGAGCGTGATGAGCATCATTGATGTGGTTGCCATCATGCCCTATTACATTGGGCTGGTGATGCCAGAAAACGAGAATGTCAGTGGGGCCTTTGTGACGCTAAGGGTGTTCCGCGTCTTCCGTATCTTCAAGTTCTCGCGCCACTCGCAAGGGCTGCGGATCCTGGGATACACCCTCAAGAGCTGTGCCTCTGAGCTGGGCTTCCTGCTCTTTTCGCTCACCATGGCCATCATAATCTTTGCCACCGTTATGTTCTATGCTGAGAAGGGCACTGCATCCACCAACTTCACCAGCATCCCTGCTGCCTTCTGGTACACCATCGTCACCATGACCACACTTGGGTGAGTTGCGCACATCCTTGACATAATCCCCAGAAGCCTGGCCTTGGTTCCCCACCAATGCTACATTCTTCCCCTGCCCTCCTGGAAACCTCATTTCTAGAATCCCCACGTGGACTTCTTGATGGCTGTGCCACCCACTAGTACCCTTGCTTTGTCCAAAAGCACCTCTGACCCAGACTGGTCCCAGACAATGGGATTTGAGGGCTTTCCCTTAGAGGCATGTTAGCTCAATGAGACAACTGAGTCCATTGGTGCACTAAAGTCACTTTAGACTCTTGGCCTTATGGAAAAGCCCCTCTTGAGATGGTGATGTGCATTACTTACCTCGACATGTGGTAAACCAGCCTTGCTGCATTCAGAGGCCCTCCTGCTCATTCTGCTGAGTGGAGCCCTGGACCTCTGCCCTGAAGTCCAGCTCTGGTGGCACCAGCATAGACGGCATCTCCCTTGTTCCAAGTTGGAAATAAGTTCCAAGTGCTTAGGAGGTGGATAAGCATGGAGACCATACACAAGCCTATGCTGGGAAAGCAGGGTTCTGTTCAGCTGGGAGTGGGCCATCTCTCTTTCCTTTAATGTTCTGACATTAAAGTCAAGCATTCTGTGAACTGGGTCTGCTTACCTTTCTCCCAGCCGCCAAAACACCAGAAAAGAGGTCCAGATTTCTGAAAGTCCCCAAGTGGGGAAGAGAACATGGCCCCTCACACCTGAATGGTCCAGGTAGCTGTGTGGCACTGCCTTGCAAGGAGCCCTTCAAAAAGTGTTGTGCAAGATGGGGAGGTGCCCAGAAGGGAACCAGCAAGGGGTGGTGTGGTCTGCTGGTGCCAAGGAAGCAACAGCAGCGAAGAGAAATATGGGTGGGGGTGGGAAGAAGAGTCAGATTGCGGAAAGGGCTGGGAAGGTAGGGACTAGGGAGCGTTTTCCAAGGAAAGAGAAGCACTTTTGCGTCTACTGTGGGTGAGAACTTTATCATGCCACTCCCAAAATAACATTTCCTTCAGTGCAATGCTCATACCCTCCCTTTCCCCTACGGTTTTCTGGCATGCTTGGACTGTAAGCAGTTGCTGTGCTGTTTTGTAGCACTGGTTTCCCCTGTTCAGATTTCACGCTGGAATCCTGAATTTGGATATATTCATTTTAGCATGGCTCCCTTCCTGCGGAAAAATCAAATACTGATTTGGGTGTTTGTAGTTGTGTGTGTGGTGCATGTCTGATCCTCAGAAACTGGTACAGTATTGGAATTCTGGCATTTCAGAATGTTGGCCGCCTCCAGGGATTTGCTTTCCTGGGCCAATTGACTGCCTCACTTTTTGTCTGGACTCTGCTGGATATCTTCCATGACATCAGAACAAGAGTAGAAAATCTGGTGTCTCATCAGATTTCTACATAATGTTTCACTTTCCAGTTTATTTCAGGGCTCTGTTGGGGCTGCATTACCCTCCTCCCTGAGGCTACCATAAGACAGTATGAGGACTATTAATATCGTGCCATCAGTGTACCTTCAGTAAAAGACAAGTCCCTGCCCCAAAGAGTTTACAGTACCAATTTAGAGAGCCCAAAGGGGCAACAGAAGGACAGGAGGAAGCAGCGAGGGATGAATGCAATGTGTGTTTCTGTGCGGGGAATTATTTGGATGTTTTCTGCGCTAGATTTGCAGACAGTGTTTTTGGAGGCTCTGCAACCAAGGATGATTAACAAAGGGCTTTCTTGTACCCCATATATTAATGAAGCATCCATCACTGGCGCCGTCTATTTCTGCATGGCCCGCAAGTGGATTCCCAACTGAACGAGGATGTTTTATTGTTATTGGGAGGTGTCAGGGGTTCAGTGTTGAATCAAAGTTGGTGAGATTTAAAACCCATCAGCTTCCATCTGGGAGAGATTATAACAGTGCACTGAGACTGCAGGAGGCCTGCAATTTGCTTCACTTCTCACCCTTTCTTTGAGAAACTCCAAGAGATGGGAGCACGGGGGTTACCCGCTCCCCCATTTTATCTTTACAACAACCCTGTGAGGTAGGTTTTTGCTGAGGGAAGTGCCCCTGGCTCAGAGTGAGCTTGATGGCGACACTCTAACCACTGTGCCCTAATGCCTTGGGAGCATCTCAGTGCTGCTTGAAGGAAGGAGTAGAGGTGGATCTTGACTGTGAAAAAAAGGAATCTGTAAGGAAGAACTGGGGAACCTCCCGGTGATGCTGAACTATCCCTGAGCACTGGACGTGCCAACTAGGGGTGGTGGGAGCTGAAGCCCCCCACACTTGGAGGGGAGCAGGGTCCTGTCTACAAATCAGAGAGGAATGGGATCTGGACAGATAGACAGGGGCTGGCAGCTGAGACATAATGCTTGCCCATCTAGGGTTCCTGGGTCTCCGGGTGTTGTCTCATGGGTTTTGACCTCTTTCTCAGAGTTTCCAGGCAAAGGAATAAAATGCAATTGCTCTCAGTGCCCATCCCATATGAAAAAATAAAGTGGGGTGCCACTGCTTTACCAAAAGTGCTATAAAGTTATAATGCAGCAGATGGTACTGCCTGGCCTGAGCTCTTGCTGACGGCCAGATCCCACTTCCCTGTCCATCAACTGCCATACCAGACATGCCACACACGGGCAGATGCTGCCACCCATCCCACTAGGTGCAAGCTGCAGCCTCCTCCGGCCCTGCTGCCCCCCCCACATCTAGATGCAACCCCTGCTTTTCCAGGCACTTTGCACATGCTCAGAGATACTTTCCCCATGTGCTCTGCTGTTCCAAACAGATGCAAGGACCAGGCTAGGTTATGGCTTAGAATTCATCGTCGCAGGGAGGGAAGCGACAAGATAAGGAATTTGCGGGGTACCAGCTGGCCTCTGTGAATGTTTTCTGGCCTGCTTCCGATCAGGGAATGAATGAATAAATGAATGAATGAGCAATTTCCCAGATCGCTGGACGGGTGGGAGGGGGCTATTTATTATCCTACCAATTGGAACTGCTGCTCTGCTTGAGGCTGAGAGAGTCTGGATGATGGATGAGCTGAGGAAGCCATTGGAGGTGACTTCCGATCTTCTGCACCCCAAAGGGGAGGCTGCGGTTCAGTGAGGTAATAGGACAGCCAGTAATAAGGCTATAGGGCAGAAGGAGCACGCTTGTTCAGAGCCACTCTGGAGTATGCTCCCCTCCCCAACGAACCAGCATTCCTCTGCAGTGGCATTTTCTGCACATTTCAAGCCAGTGAAGGGAAACCAGTTCCTGCAGAGCTGGGACAAACCGAGGCTTGGTTTGGAAATCCAGATTAAAGGCTGGGGCTCTGGGTCAGGATTGATGGGAGCTCACGGCAGAGGAGCAGGCGATAAACAGGTGGCAACCGGTTAGGATGGAAAAAGGAATCATCTTTCTTTTACACATTGCCCTGTCCAAACTTAATGAGAATCCACTGGTTGCTATAACATTTCCCCAGTGTCAGCAGCTGAGCTAGCAAGAACTCTTGGCTCCCCCCTTCCCCAGCCCCCACTAGGCCTCTGCTGAGAACTACAATCCTCCATAAATCCAAGCCACAATTCCCGAGCCCTTCCTCATCCTCTCCCAGCCCTCGGAGCTGAGGTATATCGAACCTTGGGAGCCCTGGTTCCTGCCCCTTCTCTCCTCTCCTGAAACCCAGCAGTTCCCATTATTGGGAAGCTTTAATTAGCTGCCTTGTTCCCATCCGCTCAATTAAGTTTTAATAACTCGCCTGTGCGTGTGCCAGCGAGGCACCCGCTGTCTGCAAACCACCACCCCAGTTCCCAGCATTGATGAGCTGCCTGTGCAATACACCCTGAAGCGCATTAACGAACGGCGGCTTCTGCTTCTGCTGATGTCCCTTTTCCACAAAAAAGAGGGGCCTTGGTGCCCTGACCACTTTCAATCCCCCCTAACAGCCCGCACTGGAACTGAGCCACAAAGGCAGATGTCCTGGGCATCCTCTTCCACAACCCACCCCCCTCCGCTCTGAATAAAGTCTCTTTTGTGTCTCACTGCAATCTTCGCTGGCTCCTTTCCATCTTGCCCTCCTGCATCGCTTCCCCTTTATGCTGGGTGAGTGCAGACTGGCCTTTAGCAGTCTGATACCTTGGCGCTGTGGTTAAACCACAGAGCCTGGGACTTGCCGATCAGAAGGGGTCGAATCCCCACGACGGGGTGAGCTCCCGTTGCTCGGTCCCTGCTCCTTCGAAAGCACGAAGTGCAAGTAGATAAATAGGTACCACTCCAGCGGGAAGGTAAATGGCATTTCTGTGCGCTGCTCTGGTTCGCCAGAAGTGGCTTAGTCATGCTGGCCACATGACCCGGAAGCTGTACGCCAGCTCCCTTGGCCAATAAATTGAGATGAGCGCTGCAACCCCAGAGTCGGTCACGACTGGACCTAATGGTCAGGAGTCCCTTTACCTTACCTTAAGCGGTCAGAATATTAACATTGGCTCACTATCACCACAACAACCACCGTGGGCCCTGCAGCTCCTTTGGCCTAACAGGGGCAATTCCCGATTCCTCATCCGTGAGGCCACCACCTGCCCTTCCCTTTCTGTACCCTTTGCTTCACAGGAAGCCCCTAATGGCAACCAGCCCCATCTCAGTTTTGCCTCCTGCGGAGTGCCTTGCAGTAGGGCTGGCATGGCCTAGGGCACTGGTTGTTGCACCTCACAAAATCTGGAGCTGTTATCTGGAGTCAAAAGCCAATGCAGTCATGGAGTTGTACGTTCAAAGCACTCTGGTATCACCTTAACAGTCATGGAGAATCCCAGGAGCTGTTATTTGTTATGGGTCTTTGAGGTCAGCACCCTGAACAAATGGCAGCTCGCAGGATGCTTTGGAGGAAGCCATGACTGGTAGAAAAGTCTTGGGCAAGTCCAATTTCATTGCCTCCATCTGTAATACAACTGAACTCCCTCCATCTGTAAAAGTGAATTACCTCACATTTTAATACAAATTTTGTCTGTGTGTGTGTGTGCATGCACAGCAGTGTAGAGTAGTGGTCAGAGGGTTGGACTGGTAC